ATTAAGTAAAGACTACACAGAGAATGAGAGAGAGTATTTTCAAACTATGTTATCTGATAAGAGACTTGTAGGGCCTGGGATTTAGTTCAGTGGTTCTGCTGCCTGCCTGGCAAGTTCAAGGTTCCAAGTTTGATCCCCGGTACCAAAAAAAATAAAATAAAATAAAATTCAAAAGGAAACTAGGCCAACCACAATGGTGCATGCCTGTAATTTGAGCAGCTCAAAAGGCTGAGGCAGGAGGGCTGCAAGTCTGAGCCCAATGTGGGCAACTTAGGGAGACTCTGTTTCAAAATAAAAAATAAAAAGGAGCCCACATGGTGGTACACATCTATAATTCCAGGGTTCAGTCCTAAGTACTACCAAAAAAAAAGAAACAAATAAAAGACTCCAACAATAGCTCTAACCTGATTTTGGACAGTAGCTCTTTTCTATCTGCACATCCACACTGACTTGTCGAGTAAGTTCATGAAATACTGTGTTGTAGATGCTCTGCTCCTTCTCTAACGTATATAATAGCTGGTGCATCTGGCCAAAGATAAGTAAAATAATCAGTACTTAGGACAGTGTTAACAGTTAAAAAGACATTCTAGGAGGTGAGAACTCTGAACAAGTTTCAGTAACAGGATTAATTTATTTCATTGCTTTTTCACATATATACACACACAAAATCATATATGATTTTTAAAATCTGTTTAATTGTGCACATTTTTGTATGGCACACTGAGAAGGTGACAATATCGCTTGTATGCTATGCCTTCCAAAAAATGTTAAAACCTGAATGTAACCATGAGCACACATCAGACAAGCCAAAACTAAGGAATATCTGACAGAATAACTGGCCTGTGCTGTTCAAAATGATCAAGGTCAAGAAAAACAATAAAGGCCACAGAACTGTGTCCAAAGGAACATGATAACTAGAAGTACTGTGTGATGCTCTGATGCCAGGCTAAGCGGAAGTAGCTATGAAAGCCATTACAGGGATAACTGATGAAATATGAAATTTGGCTATGGACTATGCTAGGTAATGTCCTGATTTTAATACTATGGATATTTGAGAGAATGTCCTTATTGGTACAAATAAACCCTATGATATATGGTAGTAGAGGCTAGATGTCTCCAATTTAGAATAGACCAAAAAAAAAAAAACTAGGCATATATAATAGGGAATGAGGATGAAAAAACAAATAGGGAGCCATGTAAATAACAGGTGGGAGAATTTGGGTGCTAGACTTTAATGACCCTTCAAAATATATGCTGACATTTAACTGCTATTGTAACAATATTAAAAGGTAGGACTTTTGTCCACATGTGGTGCCATGTATCTGTAATCCCAGCATGTGTGGGGCTAAGGCAGGAGGATCACTGCGAGTTCAAGGATGGCATGGGCTACATAGTGAGTTCAAGACCAGCCTGAACTCCATAGCAAGACCCTGTCCCAAAAACCAAACAAAAACAAAAAGTGGGCCTTTAAGGGGTGAATAGAACATGAGGGCTCTGGCCTCATAAGTGGATTAATGCTGTCATCATCACAGAAATAGCCTCCTGCTTACTTCAGGCCAATTTCTTCTCCCTATTTTATGAGATCACTTGCCCTTCCACCTTCCACCATGGTTGATGTAGCATGAAAG